ACATGGTACTCCTCATGTGTTGCCATTCCTGACGAAAATTTTATTCATATACAAGTTTGTTTAATTTGGTAATTTTAACAACAACAAGGTTAGAGACTCATCATTTAAGGATAATGCATGCTTATATTTCATAATAATTTTACAAGATTATATCTTCTAAGATTTACATATGCTGTCTTGGAATAAGCAGTTTTAATCGAATATAATGCTTCCATTTTCAAGATTTTTAGAATACCGATTCAAGAATTAGTTGTAAATATTGTATCAAAGCGAAATCCGGTATTAGTTTTTATCATCATACCAGTCGTTAACTGTCCACTGCACATCATAGGTCTCGCCTTGTCAGTAGTTGCCATGCTTGGCAGGTGGGTTGGCAATTGCAGTTAAGCTTTTGATAAGAATTAACTTCTTAGGAAGTTAATTCTTTTTAAAGTAAAAATAATATGTGAGTATTAATAAGGGTTCTCACTGGACACTGCAAACTAAACTAGAATATGGCCCAATTAGTCTTATGCCCAAAAAATGTTTGCAGACTTTGTCACAATGAGGAAGAAACGCCGTAGTACTTAAATTTTGGCTGTAGCCCACTCATACATAAACGATATCTCTTTTGGAAAATATACTTTATATCTTAAGGAGATAAAATACATCGCTAACAAAAATATCTTAAGATTCCTATCATTGATAGGAATTAGCAGCGAAAGTTTTAAACAAGGGCGAGAGCGAAAGGTCGCAGTATCACAGGAATTTCTGCCTGGAAAAAAGCTCGTTTTTCAATAATAATAATAGGCTTTCAATAAATTTTTAAAAGAGACGCTGCTGTCCATCCCTCGAGCATTAAAACCCATTAGTTGCCATTCAAGACACCCACGGGAAGGGAAGGGGTGGCCTATTCTATACCGGGATTACACGACTATACATGTAATAGTTCTTATACATTGTTCAAGCAGTATAGTCAAAATCTCTATTCTCAAAATGTTTTTATTTTTTATACGAATTCAATATTACGTGATTGTATAATAAAAAAGGGTAAAAAATATTTTTTTTTATATATTTTTATGGAACTTGGCCAATAAGCTGACGACTCACCACATAAGAAGTGATGAACATAGCCTGAATAGCACCATGGACATCACAAAATATACTGTAATATTCATGGTATGTTGTGTCTGTAACCTGTAGATTTATTGATGCCTTTTTTGTGTTGATATAGGTAATATCGGTACTGCCCTCATATTTATATAAAAGCTTCGCTGGACATTGATGCAGAAAAAAGATCACCATTTCGATCGAATTCTTCATTACGATATTGTATATTGGATAATCTTCACTTCATATATCCGATATGGATAACTAGACTATACAGATATTTCTTTATGGCTGTGTTTCGGTTTGAAGGGTGGGATATGGCGTGAATTTACTGGGTACAGAAGAATTATACCTGAGTCCTCAGTAATGGTAACGCATGGGGGGTATCACGGGCGAAACAGTATGTGTGTGTACTGTTATGTCCATAGTATTGCTCATGTCTATAGGCGACGGTTACCACGTTCCATCAGGTGGGCCGTCAGCTTGTTCGCCATTCTAAGTCTTATAATAAAAAAAAAATACTCATCTCTATTTTTGAGACAAGTCGCAGTTTCATGAATAATATGAATATTATTACTAAGTATGTTTTTTATATATCTAAACAATAATGTTGACCCTGTTTTTATTTTTTAATGGATGATAATGGAATGGTAGCCCTACCCGCGCTATCGGTATACACCGGTGGGGCACCAGTGAAGGATGATAGGTGAGGATGAAGTAGGTCAGTTAGCCCATTGTGATGAATTCAACAAGAATTGTTCACGATGGTTTCCAGGGGGAACCACGTGGAGGTCGACCTAATAAGGTATATTGCTAGCAATGGGGCTATCAAACTCTATTGCTAACAATCCCTTTCCCCACCATTGACCCTGTATTGAATCATTTGATTAAAGTGTTGTTATATTATGATAAAGTATTATTTGTCAAGCAATATTATAGCCAATAGTCATTACTCATTAATGATGTCATGACATTGGTGAGCGTCCCTTTTCGTCCTACGTATTTTGTATTGATGACGTCATACTATAATTATATAGCGTAATGTGTATAAGGCAGCAGTCAAAGGAAACGGAATGGAACTTAATATCTAAAATGTAAATATTAAACACAACCAATTTCCGCGTGTTTATAAACTGAAATGCTCCACAACCAAACCATACATTGTTGAAATATTAGTTGGTGGGGGCAAGGATTGTTAGTAATGGGGTGTTAGTCCCCATTACTATCAATATACCCTATCAGGTCCACCTCCACGCGGTTTCCCTTGGAAACTATTGTGACTAATTTATCGTTGAATTCGTCACGATGGGCTAACCGATCTGCCTTTTCATCCTCACCTATCACCTCTCACTGGTACCCCGAGAGTGTATACCGATAGCATAGGTGGGGATAACATGCCATTTTCACTCATTAAAAAAATTGTTGGTAGTTACACTGTTTTTTGTTTAGAACTAGTTGTATCTACGATTTAGCATGATCAAGATAAAAAGTAGCCTATATCATTCTCCGTAATAAATATTGCACGCCAAATTTCATGATGATTAGTCGAGTTGCTAAAGAGGTGATAAACAGTCATTCACATCTTCTATATTTATAATAAATCTGTAGAGAGGTAAATTCTGTACATGAAATATATTTCCAAAATAACCATCAGGGGGTGATTAGTGATCGATACTGATGCCAAAAACGCAATCAGTAAAATTTTTGTCTGTCTGTCTGTATGTTCTTTATAGAAACAAAAACTATTCAACATATTTTAACGAAACTTGGTACAATTATTCTTCATAATCCTGGGCAGGTTATAGTATACTTTTCATCACGCTATGATCAAAAGGAGCAGAGCAGTGAAGGCAAACGTGTCTGTTACATCAAAACCACTGAACCGTGAAGAGGGACATAGGCTAATTATTTGACGAAAAACGACGGAAACGCGGACGAAGTCGCGGGGAACAGCTAGTTTGTAATATAAGTAAGGATAAGGTTAATAGTATACGGGAACTTCTAGACAACGATATTACATAGCGTATCATTTTTATAACTGTAATATTTTATAGTAGCGGGATAAATCACAGGCGAGCGTTCAATATACAACACACTTTATTTTGTAACTGCCCTCCAATTATTAATAACAGTGCTACCCACTACAATAACAATTTTTAATTTTTCGACCGGTATGAATACACAACTCGCTGCGTGTGCCCCGGCATAGAATGGGCCGCCCATTCTTTACCCGTGGGTGTCGTAAGAGTCGACTAAGGGAGGGCGAGAGATGGGCAGCAGCATCACTCTTAAAACATCTCCAAAAGCCTAACTGCGGTTGCCAATCCGCCTGCCAAGTGTGGCAACTACTGGCAAAATTCCCTTTATGGGGAAGACGTTCAGCAGTGGACAGTTAACGGCTGAAATAATAATAAATAATAATGAATATACAACATATTAATAAATCTTTAATAACACGTATTGAACCTAATCTAAACTTGGACTGCCTTTCGAACTGACGTTTCCATTCTGAACGAACTGAAAATCAGAGAGAGATTATCGTCAACTGTTCGTATACAAATCTCAAGTATTTCGGCCATATCCGGAATGAAGATTGTATGGAACGTCTAATTGTCCAAGGAGCGGTACAAGGCAAACGTTCTCGGGGTAGATCGCCAACGCGATGGACTGATCTCATCAAAACGGCTACACAGCAGTCTATTGTGGAATTCACTAAGGAATGGAGGAAAAGTAGATGGAGACGTATTGCGAAGACCTCAATCGCGAAGGAGAGCCTCATCGACGATCCACTGTCATTGTGATAACCACGACCACTTTGTCAAGAGTGTACGACTAAAGAGAGATTGAACCTAAAATTAATAATTGAAAACATTGAGAGCGTTTTAGTTTTCTAATGATTGATATCATTAGAATCCTATTAAGAAAATATTTTATCTAGGAAACATCATATTTTCATTGAATGCATTGAAGAAGGACAAGAAATTTTGGACGTCTATAACCGGAGGTAGATAATAATTATCTATGTTTCTATATTAACGACGGGACGCGTCATTGAAGTATCAAATTTTCTGTTTTTGTCAGATTTTTTTCGCAACTTAGAATGACAAACAAACTGACGGCCCACCTGATGGTAAGTGGTAACCGTCGCCTATAGACATGAGCAGTACCAAGGACATAACAGAGTAGACTGTTTCGTCCATGACACCTGAGGACTCAGGTGTTATTCCATTGCACTTTGTAAATTCACTGCTATATCTCATTCTTCAAACTAAAATACAGCCATGCAAACACAACTGCTTCACTGTAGAAACACGAATGGGACAGAAGTGCCCAAGCAAACGACTTTTGTACAAAGTCGTCCTCTAGTAAGTCTCTCAGATACATGTTTCTATGGGAACACTTTTAAATTTTACTGGTAAAATAAGTGTCTTTATTTAATTCTGTTAAACCGTAATATGCCCCATTTAGCTTATGCCCTGAGCTACGTTCGTGTAAAATTTTCCATTACTTGTAACGAAGTATATACTTAATAGGTCTACATTATATTTATTTACTTACAGGTACATCAATTGTATTAATTAATTATAAAGCAAAGAGATTCAGAGCTTTCCTATTTCTACGTATTGCTGTTTATCTTCATTCTCATAGAGTTAACTATGAGAGTCTTGTAGATCACCTTTTTTATGTCTAAAATAGATAAATAATTTATAAGTTTACTGCTAGATCGACAATTGCTGTGGTCTTTTTGATACATTTTCTAATACATTCTTTAAACCTGTAGTTTTTACTATTTACAAGTCTGACACGATATTAGCTGTAGTATTTTACTGCAATAAACATTACAACAAGGTATGATCTCATCCTTCGTCATTTTCGTTTCGGCAGTTTGTTTGTGACTTGACTCGATCGACTATTTGATTCAACTCGGTTATCCACGCGCAGTCTCAGTGTGAACTTGGTGCCAAACGCCCGTTAAACGAGTGTGAACAAAACTTTGAAGAGCGTGTTCAAATTTTAAAATAAAACACAATGTCTATCAGCAGATTGTCTATCGTCAAATTTTTGGAGCTGGTAAGTTCAAATTTTCTTATTATATTAATATCTATAATGTAATATAAAAGCTTGATAGATTGTTTATCATTTCGTTTTCGTCCACGCCTTGTTTAGTTTGCTATTCAATGACAATATTTTGAAATGTAAAAAGATACTTTTTAAATATGAAATATTTTATCAAATATTTTTTTAATTAATAAATTGCTTTAATCTTATAACTTTCATGTAAAAAAAAACTGAAGCGTCGGTACCATGTTGCACGTTACCTGTGGGACGCGTTATAGCGGCAGGTGCGTCCTAACTAAACTTGACCCGACCCACCTTTTTTTTGAATCTTTAGAGGCAAAGAATTTGTAAATTTGAGATAACTTTAGAAAGACGCAATAGAGCTCAGTATTATTTTGAATGTTTTTACCTGCGTATTCTGTGTTTGTGTTAGGGTACTGGTGTGAAAATAAACTTACTTGGTTCAACGGTTGTTGTGGTTTTGCATTTTATATTCGGAAAGTTATTAATAATGAAACTAGTGAAGCGAAAACTAGGAACATGTAATAAGAAGTAGCATTTAAAGGATTGTCGTAATATTTATATCAAGCTGAAACGCAATGATAATGGTTTATGGGCCTGAATTACTTTTGCCAAAGATCTGAAATCTGAATTTTGATTATTTTATTGTGTAAATGAAAGGTTAATAATGATTTTTATATTTCTTCGAGTAAATTACTTAGTTACATGAACACTGCCACTTGATTTCTCTATGAGTAGTCTACATACCTACTATTTTAGAAGTGTGTGAGTGAGTCGCGTTGTTACAAGCGGGCTAGTATAATTTATGGGTTCTATTGTAAACAGAGGGACGAAGAATAAATTTTTTTTTTCCGGTCCGTAGGTATATTTACAATAAATATTTTTTATGTTTCGTCTTTAACTATCGTAAACAAATTATTTATAGGTATTCCAACGTTATAAGACGGACGTGAATGGTTTTGTGGCTGTGAATCCACCATAAAACGCGTGGTAAACGTTGCCTCTATCTATAAATTGCCTCCAAAAATAATTAACCTTTGATTAAGTGCTATGGGGCAGAACACCATCCGGTTGAAGACGAGTTTGTTCTATAAAACTTCACGATTGAATAGCGCAGTTTTCACTTTACTATAAATACATATCTACTTTACTGTACATAGTAGGTACTTATATATATACATGGTACGATTTTGGAGGGAAAATAATCGTACCATTGTTTTATTTAATCTTTACGTTGAATGAATTTTAATGAACGAGTCATAGACTAGATTGTTATGATCATAGATTAGGTATTTTATGTTATAATACTCGCAATTATTATTACGAACTATTTTCAATTAAATGAAATTAAAAGATGTCATCAACAAAAAAGAAGTCCATTATAATCGATGTTTTGCCTAGGAGCGCTATATCTAGTTTGTAGTAGAATTTTATGAAAGTAAACAAACAAATGAATAAGTGATCCGACCATAAGCCAGTTTGCTGATGTTTAATAGAAGTATAGACTAGATATAGATTAAAGTTTTGAATGTGTCAATTTGCTATTATTTTAATATAGAGAATCCGTGATAATTTCAACAAAACTTTATTAACTTCTCAGTTCTATAGAAATTGACTGCAATAAAGCTATGATTCAATTTGACCATCAGTACCATAGCGTCTAATTTGGTGTAGTAGTTTTTGAAGGATGTCGGAACATACAGACAGATGGACAAAATTTCGAAAAACTATTGTTTTGTCATTTATAATTATATTCTTATTGAGTCCATTTAAATTATTCCTAAATATCTTCCATGTACAGGTAAAAGCTACTTACAATTTTATATTAATACGAATACGGTAATACAAATAGTTATTGCATACCTTTCTTATCAGTGATATTGATAAATAAGGAAATTTATATTCATATTACACGTTTACGAAGTTATCTGTATTTACCCAAATTCGACGCGCGGAACGTCTATGATATAATTATAACATAAAATTGAATAAATGAAACTTTATGCCGTTGACAGAAGGTTATTATTTAATTACGTTCGATTGTCACGTTTGATTCAAGTTAAAATTTGCTTGATTCCAGTCGTTTGACCGTTTACGGACCAAAAAGTTGATAATATAAATATAAAGAAGAACACAAATGTTTTTGGTCATCATCGAACTTACTTATTATACAGTCATTAAGAGCTTTAGATTAGAAGCCTTTGCGTTAGAGTCGTGATACTCTGTGGTATGGACACAACCAAATTATATTACCGATCAAAATTTAAAAAAAAACTTAGTTATCTATTTATGTATTTCTAAAATTAATTAAATAATATCAATCATATAGTATAGTATACAGGCTGTTTCCCGCGACTTCGGTTGTATGATATCTCATGTTCTTGTGGGAATTTACGTTCGGAAATATCAAATAAAGAGGTCCTATTTTATAATAAATATAAATAGATACTCATATTAGTAGATAGGGTAATATTATTAATGAAGAAATTTATAGAAATGGTTCCGTATAGTTTCAGAAACTCATACAAACACAAATTTTACTTCTATAACTGTGACTAGGGAGCAATAACACCATGTATCTCAAGTATATATATTTTGGATGTACAAAAAAAGTGTTAAAAAAGTATATCAAATGGAATATCATCATCTTCCTACCCTTATCCTAATTATTATTTAAGGTCGGCGTAATATGCTTTTATCAATATTATAAAAATATTTGGCTTTTAGTTTAACGACCGGTCGCCTGCCTGATGTCAACCCTCTTTGCGGAAGGGGAGAAGGGGTTGTTAGCAGTGGGGATTACCAATCCCATTGCTAGCAATAAACTCCATCAGGTCGACCTCCTCGCGGTTCCCCCTGGAAACCATCTTGATTGGTTTATTGTTGAATTCGTCACGATGTGCTAACCGACCTGCTCACCCATCATTCCTTACTGGTGCCCCGCCGGTGTATACCGATAGCGCGGGCGGGGTCACCATTCCATTATCATCCATTAAAAATAAAGTCTCTTTGGGGAATGTCAAATAGAATATAAAAATACAAATATAATAAAAAGGCCGACTGGCAATAAGTCATTAGTAATAATAATATTAGAACATATAAGAAGAGATAAGGATTATTCCAGTCAGACCCACTCATTCATAATGATTCACTTCCGCGCCTGCATATCGTCATTTAGGTACTTACACTACAATCAGCTGTAGTTTTATACCTTACAGGAAATATTCAATATATAGGTCACTGCAGTTAATTATTGATTATGATTACCATTTAACACGGGGTTACAAATCTCTACTCGAGTGTTATATTCACATTGTTTCATGGTTCTTCAAAAGGGGGGTAAAGAGGTTTCTTCAGGGTCGGCAACGCACGCGTAATACCTCTGGTATTGCAGGTGTTCATAGGCTACGGTAACCACTTACCATCAGGTGGGCCGTATACTTGTTTGCCACCTCAGTGGTATAAAAAAAATTCTATTTTTTATTTTTGTTTATTCCAACTAACTTGCATTTTGTCGTTACTTATTTCTCTCTCTTTTTTTTTGAACTTTCTTTCATTATAAATTTTTTTTTATAAATTATGTTTTTATTTTCCGTGTTAATGTTTCTTATATTTTTCTATATTATTAATAGAAATAATAGAACGTATTATGTTTCCATGTTGTAAATATAATGTATCCTTAATTGCTTTTAGATTTGTTAGTTTGAATAATATTACTTCAACAAGACGGCCCACCTGATGGAAAGTGGTAACCGTCGCCTATAGACATGACCAGTACCAATGTCGCCCATGATACCCCCCATGCGTTGTCATTCCTGAGAACTTAGGTGTTATTCCTCTGTACCCAGTAAATTCACGCCAGTTCTTGTTGAAATAATATTATTCAAACTATGTATTTACAATTTAAATATTAAATCTTATTGTTTTCTTTGTAATAATATCCACTGGGAATAGTAAATAGTTTTGTTGTTGGGTTTTAGCATTTTATATAAAATATATTAATAACGAAATATTCGTTGTATAAAAAAGTTCGATGTGTCAAAAAAGTTGTATAAGATTAATTATTAGATAATAGAAAAAAGTTCTGACAATTGTGTATACATACAAAGGCGGCCGTATCGGGAGCGTAATACGACATCAAAGTGGTATTATTATTGTACTGGATTACATCATTGCCGTTCACGATGTAGGGGGAACTTAAACAGAGTTGGAATGAACTATAAAAATTAACTATTCTTAGAATATGGTCTGAAAATAAGCATTTCACACTATCTCTACTTTCGGGTTGGATAAACTTGAAAAGGATAACGGAAGTAACATAATTTGTATTATAAACTTATCTTTGCTAGTAACTTCTTCCGCGTGGATTTTGGAAATAGTAAAACTAATTATAAATAAAGAAATTGATCACTTGTAGATGGCAATATAAAATATATACCAGCAGGTCTACTCTTAAATCTAATATCAATATGAATCCAATGCCAATGCCAATTTTATACTGCACTCATGAAATAATAGTTAGGAATTAGATTATAATTGGGATCGGTTTACAATAGTTTGCATTGGCAAATTACATATAATATGCATTTATCAGAACAATATGGAACCATTATGTCGCTTGTATTGTTATTCGAGAGTGTGAAACGTCTCAATTTCGATATCCGATTATTGGATTTTATTTCAAGAGTAACCTTACAGATTTTAAATTAAATCTTTGGGGCATAATCGTGAAAACAGTATCCAATTTGGTATAGTAGTTTTTCAGACACAGACAGAGAGACAACTGAAAACAACTTGTTTTGGCTTCTATTGCTCCTGTTAAAGTTCCTCACATCATTTTTTTTTAATATTTGCTATATATAGACATCGTCTAGTTAGAATTTTATTATGTTAGTGAGATAAGGAAGATTATTATATTATATTAGGTAGTCCCAGAGGGAGATTTTGTACAAAAGTCGTTTGCTTGGATACCTCAGTCCGTCTGTGTCGTG